ATTTTGTGGTGAACTAATCACAGAGTTTCATACTTTAACTAGAGTAAGTGTCGATTAAAAAACCAAAGAATTTTCAGCCCCGAACAATAAAAAGCCTGATATTACATTAATTGCTCAGTGGGTTAAAGATGCTTGGAACATGAAATACCCCCTCTGAAATGATTATAAAAAATCATTTTTAAAAATGTTGTATTAGCAACGAACTAGAACGGCACATGGATGAGATGAATGCTGTTTTTGAAAGTGAAAATGACGACGAAGGCTCTAGTAGTGATTGTAACGAATCCAGAGTTCGAGACTGAAAATATGTATGATGACGAGCCAATGATGACAGAAAGAGTTCTATGAAATGTTTGGCGACGAATCTGACCATGAATCGGACGTTGAAGGATTTTGACTTTGTTTATTTACCAGGGTATTTTTTATTGTATATTTACTTTTTTTTTTCTCAGATGATTTTGAATAAATGTAGTAGTTACAAAAAAATTTTCGAAGTTTCTCGACCGATTTCGGAAGTAGGGGGTCGACTTATATGTGGGTTTCTTATTTTCTATGAATTTTTTATGTCGAAGTGGGAGGGTCGACTTATACGTGATATCGACTTATATGCGGGTATATACGGTAATTATTCTTCACTTCAAATAGTACTTTTCAAGGAGTAACTATTTAAAAAACTAAACCTGGATAATTAATGTTCTTCCTCTTACCGCAAGGTCCCTACCACTGCTGACTAATTATTCAAAAATGTTAAATAATCTTCTTTTTATCTCAGAATGACATGAACTACCCCAATGTGTTTTGAGCACTTTGCTATTGAAATGTAAAATTACACTAATATGAAAAATGATCTTAATTGAAATGTAAATTTATATAAAAAACAAAAAATAAAAGGATAAAATATTATTCATATAAAAAATAAAAGGATAAAAACCTACAAAAACAGCACACAATATTCGAAAACATTATTTAAATGTATTAATTTAAGGAAAACGTATAAATTAGTCCTAAAAACAATACTTTTATTCAATTAAGCTGGATTATAAGGAACCTAAATTCTTAACTTGCTACTGATGTAAGAATTTTTTTAAAAAAGAGAATTTAATCTAAAGAAATATTAAGATTAAATTAAAATGTGTTATATTCTTTTTCATGCTGGAATACATTAAATTTCAAATAGGAGAAAAATGGACTCAGACTTGCTAACTTATGTGCAGTGGCAAAATGGCTAAAAATATTTTGAAGGTAAAAAGTGCGGGGGGAGCAAGATATTCAGTAACAATAATTGTAACTGCAGAAAAAATAGAAAGTAAGCATGTAAAGAGCAAACCTGTATGCAGTACAAAAGATGTTTCCTTACCTACAATTTCCTCACTAATTCATTTATTGTTTTATGATTACTTAAGTTCTTTCAATTCAAATTGCAAGAAAGGCTTTCTACTTAACTCCAGTCACTTGTCCAGACCACCACAATGTAAGAGCAAGTTTCAAGAAATTGACTACCCAACAATTTCTGACTCCACAATTTATTTGCAATCCACAATACAATAACTTGTGAAATATACAATGGTCATTTTTCATCAGCTTATGTAATAGCATACGCATTAAAAAATTCTAAATCTATTTTCCTCAAAACATTTCCCATGTATTTGCTAGTCCAAGCAAATTAACATCAAAATTTAATTATTGATACATAAAAATAAAAATACTGCATTGTTTACAAAACAACGCTAAAGAGAATTACACCACTGCCTTCAAGGTAACAAGCAGAGGAACACATTGCCCAACTACACTCCATGCTCAAGCACACTCGGAGTGTCTCAAACAGTATTCAGTTCCTGGATGTAAGGGTGCAGTATACTGATTCAATAACAAACTAACCAAAGAAACTATGTTTGCCCCTTAAGGCAACAAAAATCTTCAGAGAAAAGCCTTTTCGGTTATAACTGCTTATGAAATAAAAAATAAAACTGAATTTTAAAAAATTTGAAATTATTTTTACTTGTCATGAAATAACATGTGTGACTTATAGAGGTTATGTTTAATTTGAGCTAAATAAAGGCTAGACAGCAAAGTCTAACAATTGCAGTTCATATTTTCTTACTATCTAATTACATAGGAAAGCTAACAGGCATGAAATGCTTAGTGTGCTTTACTTTCTTGGCTTACCACAAAGCATTTTTTAAAAGATTAGTTTTTTAATGCAATGTTTTGTTTAAAAATTAATTATGGGGAATACCATCACCAGCTGATTTTATGGGATCACAAGAAATGCTACCTTTGCATTTAGCAGTACCTATAAACACACTTCTGAAAATATATATCAGGTTCAGCAGAATAACAACATAACTTGCCATTAATTCATAGAAATTTATGAAAAAATTAGGTACTTACATATTATTGCCAAGCATGATTTAGCTCCAGTTATGGATAACTATGATATAACAACATTACTCCTACCATCTATGCTTTTGTTTGTTGCAACCTTGATTGATTCTTGGCAAGCCATGTTTTGGTTTTATGAACAAGGACATAAATTAATTGCCATTGCCATACCTTTTTTTAATCAAAAATTTTTTTAATTCAAAATTTGGGACCTGCCTTTTACAGTGCATTATTTTCAAAGTTATGAGATGCTGACATTAAAAAAAAAGTGCTTATTAATGTACATGATACTGCTGAATATGACTAACAAAACAGTAACAGATACAAAAAACTACCTGTCGGAAGTTTCTGCTCACAGTATTCTAAATGGACCTTCCTGTAAAATCGGAGGGCTTAACAAAACAGCAAAAACTAATTAAAGTTTTTTTTTTTTTTTGGCAACGTACAAAAATCAAGTGGGTAAAATACTGACTGTTTATTAAATAAAACAGATTTCAATTCCTTCAGAATTCTGCAGGAACAATAGGCACAATTTTGGCAGGATCTTCTCTTTCATGTTTAATGGTAGCCAATTTTCACAGTCAATAAGTTAATACATTAGTACCAAAAATAATTATTTAAAAAAAACCGTTTGAAAATTAAACCAATATAACTATGCACTTTTGATTTGCATCAATAACTTGAAAAACTGGCACACAATTCCAAGCAATGTGATCACAATTAGATGACTTATGTAATATATCTTTAAAAAAGCATTTTTAGTGTTTTTTTTTTTTTTTTTTTTTTTTTTAATGCATCCACTGGTAAAAAAATAGGTTACTGGACAAATCAACTAAACGAATACAATAATTCAGAACTCGATCAGAAATGAAAAATATATGGTTTATATCAACTAAAATTATTTTCTTTGTTACAGCCATCTTAAGATGTAGCAGGACTGGTGCCATATGCTCATAGAGAAAACAAGCGAAGTGTGTGGAAAAAATTCACCTCGGATCATGCTAGACATGCACCTTAAAATATATCCCAGTTTCCTCTACTTTTTCATATGAGTGCTTTGAACAAACATGATATGCATCACTATCGCATTCACCATGGCAGAGAAGGATGAGAAGAAAATTTGCATTAATTTTGTTCCATAATTTGGTGATACCTTTAAGAACTTAATGCAAAACTGCAAAAAATAAATATATGGGGAAGCGTGTATAAGTTGCATGCAAGTTTACAAGTAGTTCAGATGTCTTAAATATTAAGCAAGTGTCAAAAATCCATAGATATCTATAACTAGCAACCCTGAATAAAGCATTAAATAGGAACACTCAGTTATGGAATATTACTGTTGAATTACCATCTGTGAGATACACGAAGATCTTAACATTGATTTCAATTCAGTTTCGTTCATTTCCACAGAAGTAACATGAGACACGTGTCTGCAGAAGTTTGTGCCAAAACTGCTTTCAAATTATCAAAAGGGAAGCTAAGATTCAGCCTTGAAAATATCAATAATGACTAAAAAAATTTTCTAAACAGTCATAAGTGAATAACTGCAGGTCCATGATTACTACATCCTTCCCCCTTTCCACCAAAAAAATTTGGCTTAGTTTTCACAATGAAAGAACCCAACTTCTCTGAGATTCCAAAAAAATAAATAAGGCAAATCAATATGAAGATGCTGTTTACTAAAGGGGCACTTTTTTATTATAAATGTATCCTACCTGGCCAGACAACCAAGAAATACTACCATAAAGTGTTGTGATATTTAAGAAATGTTAGTCATTGGAAAAAGCAAGAACTGCATTAATCAGGTAAGTGGTGACTTCACCGTGACAGTGCAATGGCCCATTCAGCTCAGTATATGCAGCAGGTTTTGGCCAAGCATTAAATTTCCCAAGTCTAGCAACCTTTGTATTCTCCAGATCCATCTTGTTTTTTTTTTCTTTCCCCCCCCCCAATCTTGAATGTCCTCTTGAAAGGAAGAACATTTCAAAACAATGAGAAAATCTAAATGAATACTATAGAGCACTTGCTTGCAATTTGATGAAAAGAGGGATAAAATATGTGATTTTGAAAGACCAACTTTGAAGATTAAATATCAAATCTGCAAGTAGTCCAGTTTTTTTTTTACATTCTTTAAATAATCCCATTCATGATAGTGTTTGATCATACCTCATAAAAATCTTAAATTTTCAGAGCAGAGAGGTAAGACGTTTTAAAAACTAACAACCTAACATGGCCCTTCAAGAATATCCATACATTTTCAAGGTAACAGTAACTGGAACACAGATCCTGTTTTATCATAATTTGTAATATACAGAAAATGGGCTGTTAAATTAGCATCAATATAAAAAATGGCATTTTGAACAGTTTTGAAGAAGAAAAAAAAAACCTGAAACATAATAAATATTTTCTTGGGAATAACATTTTTTCTCGGTTTTTATGTTTTTTTTATTGTGAGTTTCTTCAGAATCTTTAAACATATGACCTAAATATCTTATTTTTTTTAAACTAAAATATCTTCTATGCACTCAAGAATATTTGCGACAAATATATGCTAAATGACACAATCTGCTTTATTATAAAATATCAAAATTAATTTATATCTACATAAAATAACTCACCTTAATTTAGCCATATTTCGCCACTTTTTACTGCAATTATCAGAAACTGCAGGAGAACCATCTCTGGAGGTTAACTTTGAACACTTTTCAAGCATAAGTATAATATCTTTATTTGTATTCACATCAGGATACATGCTCATATCACAACTTTCACCCTAGAAATAAAAGATTTAAGGAAAAACATTTATATAAAAGTACAATTTGCAGCTAAAATACAATTCCTAAAATTCAATCATAACATTAAAATAATATTCAAATTAGGATTTAAAAATGTTTTCAATTTAAAACTGACCAATAAAATGAAAGGACACTGTTTATAGCAAAGTGAGAAACTACATCATTTTGAAGGATTGATAGTTCTAGTGGCAAATGTGATAAATATATTACATTATCAATTTTGTTACAGTAGTAGCTATGTTACTAATTCAAACAATATTAATTGAGTGAAAAGGAATAAAACACATGGAACCATTTAAAATAAAGCAACAAATTTGGGAATTAATAAATAAAATTCTATAGCTACGATGTTTTATGTCCGTAACACCTGAACCAATTTAAAACAAACCAATAAATTGGGGGGGGGGGAAATAAATAAATTTCTATATCTACAAAGTTTGTCCTTCCATTCTGCCATTATTTTTTTAAACAAAAAAAGCTTCTGCATTAATACAGCTAGATATGAGAATTTTCACTATAATAGAATTGAATAAAATTTAAAGAACTATATCTTGAAAGTGAAACAAATAACAATAAGCAATATTTGCTTATATATGACAAATAGTGAAGTAATGATTGCTTAGGTATGCTCCTCCCCCAAAAAAACATCATGATTGCTGAAATGAGAGGCACTACATTCACTGACAAAGTTTATTAACTAATAGTTATATGTATTTTAATAAATCTAATAAGTAGCCCTTGAGATTCAAATATCCCACTTTTTTGCAAGTTACAGAATTATTGAAAATGATTTACCCAGTTTCAAATAGCTTTGCTACATCAAATTTGAAGGAATGAATGTATACAAATGTTTTATTATACCTCTTATCAGTTTATATGACAAATAATGAAGTAATGATTGCTTAGATATGCTTCTCCCCCCCAAAAAAAATCATAATGGCTGAAACGAAAGGCACTAAATTCACTGACAAAATTTATTAACTACATAGCTAAATGTATTTTAATAATTCTAATAACTAGCACTTGAGATTCGAATATCCCACTTTTTTTGCAGGTTACAGAATTATTAAAAATGATGTACCCAGTTTCAAATAGCTTTGCTGTTTACAAACATAAAGCAATTAGTGACACATCAAATTTGAAGGGAGGAATGTGTACAAATGTTTTATTATACCTCATATCTGTTTATACTATTTCTCACAATTAAATTATTGCTGTCATTAGTTATTTGAATTCATATAATTGCTCTGGAGCTACTTCTGACATTGACTCCAGCCAGCAATAATGAAATGGAATTTTTTAGGTCAATCAATGTTATGGAAATGTTATCACGCAAGGTTTAATGTACCAGAAAACTTTGATAAGCTCAAAAATTGAACCATTACTGCAATAGAATCATTATCCAAAGGCAAAATATCCTGAATATAGGGTTATTAAAAGGGCTGCCAAAACAATCCCAATAATTCTTCATAACCCAGTTTTTTCCTTTATATAAACTATAAAAGATATGCTCAATACTCCCCAAAAGACAACTGCACTTAGAGCATTAGGCTAACTATACAGTTACACAGTTCACTCATAGAATGAAATGCTATTCAAATGTTTTTTGATAGTTTCGCATACTTCCATCCCTGTGCATTTGTAAATTTTGAAAATATTATTTATATAAATTATTCTAAAATAAAATACTATATATATTCATTTAGGTCTACCGGACAGTTCTGTCCATTTTTGGAATAAAACAAAATACAAATGTTTCTTACTGTCAATAAACTTTATTAAATAATATACTTGCCATTATTATTAATGACTTCTTGCTAGCATGATGGCAATTTGCATATCCCATTTTTGAAAAATGTATCTTTTGATGAAAAAAACTGAACCAGTGCTTCATTATGTACTGGTTATCATTATTATTCATTTGTTTGATATCTTCTTCATTTTTGAATTTTTTGCCCTTCAAAAAATTTTCTAATGACAAAAACAAGTGATATTCGGAGGGTGCTAAGTCTGGGGAATATGGTGGATGTAAAGAATTTGCCAGCTTATTTGTGCAATTTTTTACGAGTCTCCAAAACAGCTTGTGGCCTGGCATTACCAAGATGCAGTGTGATGTACTTCATATTGAATATCACAGGCCTCTTTTCTTGGACTGATGTCTTTAAATTATCCAATTGCTGGCAGTACTTCTCTGAATTGACCTTTTTATTCAGTTTAAAAAGCTCATAATGCATTGGTCCTTGAATATCTCACCATATACACAACATTCCCTTATTTAGAGTCAACTTTGGTTTAGAGGTGGAAGGGCTAGGTTTTCTGGGTTCACAATATACACCTTTTCCTTACAATGATTTTTTGAGTAATCGTCTTTTCATTCCCAATTATTATCGGATTCAAGAAGGGCTTGATTTTATTCCGAGCAAGCAGAGATGTGCATATGACGACTCGATCAATCCAAATTCTCCTGACTTAATTCATGTGGCAACAATCTTTAATATTTCCACACCAATAATATCTACCGAATATGGTCTGAAATCGTTTGCTGAGCTGAATTAAGCCATTCTGAGATCTCTGATGTCTCAGAAAAAGATCTTACCCCAACATGGTCTCAATAACATCGTCATCGATCAAAGATAGTCGCCCAGAATGTGACTCATCAGAAAGGTCAAAATCAAATTTTTCGAACCATCTTCTGCATGTCTTATCAGAAACTGCACCTGCACCAAACACTTTAAATAAATTTGTACATGCTTCTGTAGCATTTCTTCCTTGTTGAAATTTGTATAAAATACAGTGGCGTAAATGAACTTATCAGTAGCCATGAGTACACTATTGCTTCACATTTAAGACTAACGTGAATCAACTGTTTTAATTAATTTGCGAGATCAGTATGTATACATAAAGCGATAAAAATAGAGCCGAACGTACGGCAAATAAACATGTGCTTACATGTCGAAAATTGCTTTCATAGAAATAAACAGAACTTTCCGGTAGACCAAATATGTATGCTACCTTGAAAGACCGAAATCTGGAGAATATCGGCATTCTCCTTATGAATGTCAACACTCATACAGTTGCTTTGTGAATGTCCGAAATATTTGCTAAATATCCTTATTTCTCACATACAAATGCAAACATCTGAATGTTGAATAAAAATATTTTTTGTATGCTTTAAAATCATATATTATTAAAACATAATATGTTATATGTCAAAATAGAAGAAAGCTTAAGTAATAGCACATGTCAATAAACCATTAAACTTAAAACGAACAAACAATCTTATTTATTGCAACACCTTATGGTACCTTAACTGAAAAACATTTCCTTGTTTTATCAACTGCATTTGGTTGTGAAACACTTCTTTTTGCAATGAGAGCATGCATAGCCTTGCCCTCCACTTCTCAAATTTGCTGCAGTTGCTTACGAATATAAAACTGCTTGAGGGCACCATTTTTGTTTGCTAATTTATAAAAATGGGAGTATTCTATGCCAATAACAACCACTAACACATTTTGTGCCTCTGTATCACCACAGTTGACACCAGGGACTTTTGTTTTTATAGGTTATCAACAATTTGGCAGCAGGAAATTTTCTTTCTGAGGTTTTTTACATTTTTCACTGCTGCTGTAGAAGATGCTCTTTTCATAGAAATAAAGTTGTGTTGTTTAATCAAGGCTTGATATGAAGACATGGTAGGTTGCAGCTCCTCTTCAGTATTTCCTTTTGGAATACAGTGTTTGCTATGGCCAATGCTCAAATTTTTTTCAAAAGTATTAATAATTTCTTCCAGCTGTTTTTCAGCTTCAACACTTGCGATTTGTTCACCGGGCAAAGATGACGATGCTACGCCTCTTTTTGGTTTAATGCCAAACAAGGCTTCTTAAGGACTTTAGCATATTCCTTTGTGTTATGTAATGCTTTGGCAAACTGTACAAAGAGCAAACCATATCATCATTCATTTGCATTATTACCGTTCACCCGTGTATTTAACACATTCTTTACACTGATTGGCCCTTTTTGTAATATTTAATAATTTGTAAATGGCTACATATATTTAACATTTAGTAATCAGCAATTGGCAACACCTGCGATACATATATGAAAATAGAACGATGTTGGTATTGCAGTAGTCTGTATTATAATATATTCTATGATTACAAATAAATAGTTTTTAAAAAGCTAAAAGTGCACCCTCATTATTTTATATGGTGTCAGGAGTATTTTCCTTTCAAAATGGAAAGTTTAAAACCACCAGAGCCTATGAAATTTGATGGAAATCTTGCTTTGAATTGGCAAAGATGGCTACAAACCTTCAAAATATATGAAGTACCTACTGGATTACATAATAAAGAAGTGAATGTAAGAGTTAATACTTTTCTTCATACAATAGGAATTTGTGGTCTTGAAATATATATTTCCTGTAGAAGAAGGTAAAGAAATTAAATTAAGGCAAAATATACAGAATATTGTATTCCTAAGAATAATATTACTTATGAAAGACATTTATTCTTTACTAGAAATCAAACTGCGTCAGAAACCATAGATGAATATACAACAGACCTTCGAAATAAAGCCAGAACATGCGAGTTTGCACAGTTAATGGATAGTTTAATAAAGAATAAAATTGCTTGCGGTATTAAAGATGATGTAGTGTTACATGAAACAGAATTAAGATTAGAAAAAGCTCTTGATATAGGCAAATCTGCCGAAATAAGTGCACATCAAATGAAAATTATAAAAGATGAGGAAACTGTTGTAAACTTAGTGAAAAAGAAACTAAGTAAACATAATAAGAATACCTACAAAGAGGTAAATACCGAGAAACAAAAGACAAAAGTTTGTTCTAAATGTGGAACATCTAATGAGTATTGAAAGTGTCCAGCATATGGAAAAATCTGTCATTAGTGTAAAAGGGAAATCACTTTGCAGATTACTTTGCAAATCAGTGTAACAGCTATAAAATAAAAAAATGACACAG